GGCTTCGAAGGGATTTTCGGATACCCCACACAACGGATACCCCACACAACGGGCTTCGAACACTCTAGACTTCGCGATTTGATGGGTATCATATAGGATATCCCACACAACGGGCTTCGAACACTCTAGACTTCGTAACACCCTAGACTTCGCGATTTGATGGGTATCATACCCCACACAACGGGCTTCGAAGGGATTTTCGGCGACCTTTCCGTTAACCTTATCCGTAGGAACCCCCCGTATGCCCCTACGGATTGCCTGCCGTAGGGTCGTAGGTCTTATCGCTTAAGGGTTATTCGAAATCCCTTCGAAGTCCGCTGTGTGGTTAGACCTCGCGATCTGATGGGTGCCCACCACCCTCGATCAGGTGGAGAGGGACTACGACTTCTGGTCGGGCGTGAACCACCAGCAACCCGCTGCAGCTTATCCGGATCGGGTACTGTAGTAATCTAGGCAGGTCGTAGGGCCCTACGATAGGGCGTATGAGCCTACTCGCCACTTAAGGGATACGCGATACTTTGTAGAAGGGAAACTCTGAAACTGAAGGAGGGGAACTCCGGACGACATTGAGGCAGGAGTAATCTCATCTCGAAAGATAACTGAATCAGTTCCCCAATTGGCGTCTTCATTTAGGCCCTTTAGGTTCTTCGAGCTCCCAACATAGGCGGACAAAGGAACTGGTTCTGTAGAAAGGCCATGTTTGATTAGGAGGCCTCATTAAATTTACTATGCCGTAGCTGATTTCTCCTATTCAGCCCCTATTGAAAGAAATGGATACAGTGGACTACGGACCTTTCATCAAAAGTCAACTTACCCTGTGGGCAGTTAACTTTGAGGATTTTCTGATGAAAAAATGGTCACGTTACCGCTAAATCTAGGGGTCCCGAAACCATCAAAGCCCACCGTGTGGTCTAACGTGTTCCTTTGATAAATTTGATCTGGAAGCCGGGCGCCCAGTACAGGGGTACCTCGCCTATGGATAGCCCGTAAGTGGCCAGTAGGCTCATACGCCCTACCGTAGGGCCCTAGGACCTGCCTAGGACCTCTTGGCCGTCAGATTTGGCGGCATGGGCACTTAAGGGATAAGAAACCGCCCCCCCCTAGGACCCTACGGTAGGCTTAAGCCCAGGGAACTATGGTGTGCCTAGGGGGGGGGCAGTTTCTTATGAGCGAGGTACCCCTGTAACCCCATGTAGGACCTTTAGGTCTGTTAGGTCATTCGAGCTCCCAACATATGCGGACACCGGAACTGCTTCTGTAAAAAGGCGAGGATGCCGGAGTGACTTTACACAGTCACGTCCACTACAGGGGTACCTCGCTCATAAGAAACGCCCCCCCCCCCTAGGACCACCATAGGGCCCTAGGCATAGGCCTACTGTAGGGTCCTAGGGGGAGGCAGTTTCTTATGAGCGAGGTACCCCTGTATCCCCCAAGTGGCCAGGGGGTCATCGTTGACCCCCAAGAGGTCAACATTGACCCCCAAGAGGTCCCAACAGGTCCCTAGGGCCCTACAGTAGGGCGTGCGAGCCTACTGGCCACTTAAGGGATAAGGCGATAGAAGACACAAACTTACTTAACGGCCCGAGGCGGGCTCGTCCTGGACTAGGTCCGCACAAGGGCCCCTTGTGAGAACCTACACTGTACAGGGGTACCTCGCTCATAAGAAACTGCCCTCCCCCTAGGACCACCGTATGACCCTAGGCATAGGCCTACTGTAGGGTCCTAGCTAGGGGGAGGCGGTTTCTTAGGAGCGAGGTACCCCAGTAGTCCAGGACGGGCCTCGGGCTCCAATGGCCCGAGACGAATCCGAAGATTTTGTAGAAGTCAACACCCCCACAAGTCAACACCCCCACAAATCTGTCAACTTTAGAAACGAGGCGGGCTCGTCCTGGACTAGGCCCTTGCACCCTGTCCTCTCAAGTGTTGTTCTCGCCACCCCCTTACTCCTAGAGCTTTGCCTTGTATGCCCACCAAAGCTAGATTTCATCTCGGAAGACAACTGTATCAGTTTCTTTTCAATAGGGGTTGAATAGGAGAAATCAGCTAGGGCATAGTAAATTTAATGAGGCGTCCTAATTAAACATGGCCTTTCTACAGCACCAGTTCCTTTGTCCGCCTATGTTGGGAGCTCGAAGAACCTAAAGGACCTAAAGGATCATATGGAGCCGCGCGCCCCCTAGGACCATCGTATGCATATCCCTTAGGTGGCGATGCGGTCAAATTTGACCGCAAAGAGGCCCTAGGCAGGTCCTAGGGCCCTACTGTAGGCCGGCTCGCCACTTAAGGGGTACCTTCTACGGATCTGACCGCAGAGAGGTCCTAGGCAGGTCCTAGGGCCCTACCGTAGGACGTATGAGCCTTCTCGCCGCTTAAAGGATACCTTCTACGTACCCCTACAGGGGTACCTCGCTCATAAGAAACCGCTTCCCCCTAGGACCCTACAGTAGGCCTATGCCTAGGGCCCTATGGTGGTCCAAAGGGGGCGGGCGTTTCTTATGAGCGAGGTACCCCTGTAACTGTAGTGCTATGTCAACACATGGCTCTGTGGCTGTCTGCTCGAAGAACCTAAAGGACCTCGACCGCTCTAGAACAAGGCGCGGACCCCTATGGCGTTGTACTGGGCGCCCGGCTTCCGGATCACGTTTCCGTCGTCGTCGATGTACTCGGACTTCTTGCCGAGCGCGAACCTGCCAAAAGTCAATTCCCCCATCAAAGTCAATTCCCCCATCAAAGTCAATTCCACCCCACACGCCGTCGACTTAGCAGAGATGTACGATTATCTGAGGCAGAGCTAGAGAGTGGGAGGGACTGTGGGAAGAAGGGGTTTGAGGTTTGGGGTTTGGGGTTTGGGGTGTGGGGTTTAGGGTTGAGGGTTTGGGGTTTGGGGTTCGGGGTTTGGGGTTTGGGGTTTGGGGCGTGGGGCGTGGGGCTTGGGGTTTGGGGTTTGGGGTTTAGGGAATAGGGTGTGGGGTTTGGGATTCTGGGTGAAGGGCTTAGGGTTTGGGGTTTGGGGTTACAGCTCGAAGAGCTTGAAGACCACCTTGTCGGTCGTCAGGAACTCGACCGACGTTTCGATGGACTGACCCCAAACCCCGACTGTGGGAGGGAGTGTGGGAGGGACCGTGGGAGGGACTGTGGGAAGGACTGTGAGAGGCAGGGGTTTGGGGTTTGGGGTTTGGGGTTTGGGGTTTGAGGTTTGAGGTTTGGGGTATGGGGTTTGAGGTTTGGGGTGTGGGGTTTGGGGTTTGGGGTTTGGGGTTTGGGGTTTGGGGTATGGG